TGGAACCAAAACCAAATAACCTTTCCAATGGCAAGATATTTTTTTCTTAGATTTGTGGTAGTTGTGAGGGGAGTGGGCCATGGGCAATGTGAGCATTTCCTGTTGGTGGTTTTGAGCAGGGAGGTTGTTCTTGTTCCAAGAAATTCCATTCTGTTTAAAGAGGAGAACCTAAAGACCATGAAAAGTGTGTATGTTCCCCAGTTTGTTTTTCTGCTTTGGGTTTAGTGAATCGATTTTTACCCTGATCTTTATTTCCTGGTGACTGTAACAAGTATGTTAACTCAGGTTACACTTCTGATAAATTTCAGCACATTACTAACATTCTGTCACACCGATAAATTAAATCTTTTCCATTTGAAAAGTAACTGTCATTTCTGCCCACTGTATGATTTATACTTCATCTTACAAAAATTACTCTTCTGGCATAAAATTTTTTTGACAGTTTAAAAAAGAATGATAATGCCCTTCATTAGTTCACTGCACAAAGACCAAAAATCCTCCTCCTTCCTGTCTGTTGGCTGCCAAAGCCTTTGTTTGCTAGTAGAATTTGTTCTAGGCTGTGATTTTGTCTTGTGCGTCTTTTTATTATCTTCCCAGCCTTCCTTATCTTGTTACTTACTACTTATGCTTTCTCTTCTCAGAAAAGTTACCTTTCTTTTTCTCTTCCTTCTGCTCTGTCATCTGATATTAACTGGCAGTTCCAGCTCCTAATTCTTCACCAGTGAATGAACTGTACGACCCTCAAGTAAACACTGCTTGAGTTAGCAGCTCTTTCTTATCTTTTGCCACTTCAGGACAAGTACTGGAGATTTCACTGGTTCATAACATGAACCTGCTGATTGAGCTTTTAAATTTCAGAATTAAAAGCAGCTTGATCCTCAATGAAACAGTGACAAGTGTGTACTGGAAGTTGTCACTTTTGCAGTGTTAACTGTACATGCAAGGTTCGTACTGTGAAGGGCATGTCCTGAGGGAGGCAGCGCAGAAGGGAGAAGTTGATGTAACAGAAGTTTGGCATGGGATCTGGCTTCTCTTTCCTTTCTTGTCTTGTGATGATAGCAGGTTTTTGAAAGTAATTGTTTCTGATCCTTAATCATAAAACTAAACATGCAGCAGTCTTTTAATATTAAAATTTGTAATGTTTTGGGGAAAAAAAAAAAATCTGGCAGATTGTCTTCCACTGTACAGTACCAATAGTTCTTCTTCCACGCTCCTACCCCGTAGTGTGGGTTTTTGACTACAGGAATAGAGTACTGTCTGTTAAAACATTTTTTCTTTTTTCTAAGAGACAATTATTTTTATGTGCAAATGAACAACTCTTTATGGTGTTTAATCGTTCTTCCTGGAAATCGTATTACTTTTTTTTGTTTGTTTAAACTTGCTTACGGAGCAAATGAGAGTGGTGAGGCCTTCCTTTCTGTTTGCCGTTCGTCCATGAAAGCCTTTGGACCAAATTTCTACCAAACAATAAAGAAATGTTATGTCTTAGAGATAGTTATTGCTCCATGTTTCATGAAAATCAGTGTCTTTGATGGGAGTGCTATGTGTTCTTTGGTAGCAGCTCACTGGCACTGGTTGGAGTATGTAACTCCTGGGTAACCGCAGCATTGCTTTCTCCTGTGTGGAGTATGGAGGAAGCTGGGCTGGTGGAGGGGAAGGGGGATGTAAGACACAAGTTCTCTTACTTATGGGACTACTTACTTAATTTTGATTTAAATGCTTCTGAAGAATTGAAGCAATGGTGGGTGTTCCTAGTTGCTCAGTAATACAAGACTTCTATTTAGTTATCATTTGCTGGTGCTCTGCCTGCAGGAAGGCAGCCTCCCCTGGGCACAAGGGAGAACTCCGGTTTTTGCAGCATTGGTCTGTTTCTGTAAACGTTATCTCTCCTACACATCAGCTCTAAAATCTGCGAGGGCTGCCCGAGATTTCCACTTCAGGAGAAATTTGAAAGGTATTAAAAGGTAGAACATGAGAGGTGAAAAAACCTATATATGTTATCTAGTTATAATCTCTTTCAATACAGATTCCTTTAGTTCTTTTTCCTGTCTACTCTGGGGAAAAAAATACTATGTTAACACTTGTTTTTGTATTTAAAAAATGTTTTAAATAACAATTTCAACATGGACTTCAGAGGTTTCTTTATTGATTTTTTTTTTCTCATTTCTTTTTATTTGTTTTTATGAATGTATAGTCACACACTCTGTCCTGTCAGTCTCCCTTTCCCAGCACTCCTACCACAAGGCGTGCCTTGCAAAGGACTTTGTCAGATGAGAGTATTTACAGTGGTCAGAGGGACCACTTCTTCACCTCGCGGGCCTCGCTCTTGGACCAAGCCATGCCAAATGATGTCCTGTTCACCAGCACATACCCTTCTCTACCAAAGTCACTGCCATTACGGAGACCATCATATACTTTGGGAATGAAATCACTACATGGTAAGTGTATTTCTGATTTTTCTACTTTCAAAGGAATGTTTTGTGAATCATGTTAAGGAAAATGTTTGTTACAGCAATTAGTACTTCCATCTTGATTTTGCTAGAATGAGAAGAGTCAAGTCACAGGCCTGAAAATATAAAATAGGATAGGAATTGGGATTTTTTTTTTTCCTCACTTCAGTGTGTATAAGACTGCATGATTGGTCATGCAGTTACCTTGTGGAGAGAACACAAAAATTTGCCTCATCAGCTCTAAGTTTTCACCATTTCTTCCAGGAGCCATCTGTACCAGTTGGACCAATGGGCAAATAATGTATGGCTGGTTATCCACCAGGGAGAACTTTAGGTGTTCATTCCTTTACTGTGGGATTATGGAAACAAAATACTATTAGGAAAATCATGATATAAATGTGGATAAATACCAGTGGACACTTAGATGTACTACACCAGATACAGCTTTTATAGCACCAGTTGTTTTTAAATTTACTCTCCTACCCTATTCGTTTGACTGGACTTGAGGTATTCCATTTTAGTCACACGTTGTTGTGGTTTAACCCAGCAGGGAGCTAAACACCACACAGCTCTTACCTCCCTCTCCCCTGCAGTGGGATGGGGAGAGAATTGGAAAAAAGGTGAAATTCATGGATTGAGATGAAGACAGTTTAATAGGACAGAAAAGGGAGGGAAAATAATAATAAAAGAATATACAAAACAAGTGGTGGTCAATGCAGTTGCTCACCACCTGCTGACTGATGCCCAGCCAGTCCCCCATGCCCTCACTGCACCCACCCACCTCTCCCTCAGCCAACTCCCCCCAGTTTCATTGTTCAGCATGGTATAAGCAATACCATGGACTATCCCTTTGGCCAGTTTGGGTCAGCTGTCCTGGCTGTGTCCCCTCCCAGCTGCTTGTGCACCCCCAGCCTCCTTGCTGGCAGGGCGGTATGAGAAGCTGAAAAGTCCTTGATGTAGTGTAAGCACTGCTTGGCAACAACTAAAACATCAGTGTGTTATCAACACTGTTCTCATCTGAAATCCCAAACACACAGCACTGTACCAGCTACTAGGAAGAAAATTAACTCTATCCCAGACAAAACCAGGGCACACATCAACAGCTAACAGGAAAGTTACTTGGTAAACTGCTGTCAAGAAGCACTTAACTTTCCCCCATTAGTTTGCTGAGAAGTCTCGGTAGGATTATCTGATAGGTTGCGTGTTGCTGCATGTGAATGTCTCAGTTGGTGAGAAAGGGAATTTTCACAGGTTCCCGCTGTACCTCATAACTAAATGTGTTTTCCAGAAATAGCGCTAGATCTCATAGTGTGGGATTCTTACATATCTGCTCTGATTTATTCATGTTTTGGTATGTTTCAAGGGGAAAATGCAAGGCTATCAATAGATTGAACTCACTACCGTGGGCCCCTAAGCATGGTTTGTATTTAGATACTTAAGATACATTTGACAGTGAAAGCTGCTGAAGAAATCTATTTTAAATTCTTTTCATCTGTCTGTGATCACCAGGCATCAGTTTTCAGTGTTGAACCTGACATTTTCATGAGCTCTTGTTTCTGAATAACAGGTTTCTTGCGTAAGAGTTAGGAAACTGAGCTCTCTTCACTTCTGCTTTTTATATGCACTAAAATAACATTGCAGACTTGGTTACCGTTGTAACTGGCTGGTGGATTTGGCTTCTGAGGGCTTGGGGTCAGAAGATTAATGACGCTATCTGAGTAGAAGTGGAAAGCAGCACCTGCTCTCATCTCGTTTAGATGCTTGTATTTTCCGAAAAGAAAACCACCAAACCTTCTTTCACTGTCACGTTCACTTCCACACCAAGCCAATGGCTCCTCCTAGCACATCAGCTTTGTACAGATGTCAACAAAACAAGATTTTCCGTTTTCTATAAAATTTAGGCCTGCATGATAAAAGAACCAGCTATTTGAGTGACACACAAATTGTCTCCCCTCCCAACTTGCCTTTGCTGAGAGAAGGATTAAGTAGAGCTGGATATTTAATACTGCAAGTATTTGTTGGCTTCCAGCGATGCAAAATTCTTTGAATTCAAAGATCTCAATAACAAAGAACAGCCATTCCAGAGCACCTCCATTTGTTTTGAAGAAGGAAAACAATGAGCTAAAAATATTCTTATTTACTCATCTGTCTTAATTAACAATACAACTCACACTTTTAAAACCAGTAATTTTTCAAATGGCTAGTTTCCTCTAATTCTGTGTACCTTTTCACTAATTGTAAGTATTTTCATGTTAAGAACTTCCCAAATAATGCCCTCTTTTGGAGGGATAATACAACAATCTTCAGTGTTAAAATTGAGCTGAATTTACATTTATTAAAAGTAAACACACAGACAAAAAAGAAAATATTTTTGAGCAAGGCCAAAAACTGAGCCCAGTCCATCCTCTCACTCCTACCTCCCTGGTGCTTCTAGTAGGACCTACAAATTTTTCAAGACTTTATGCCCTGACAGAGGGCATGAGGAAGCAGGTTGTTGCTGGTTTTGAGCTTACCAGTGTGCTGACTGACCAGGCTTTGCATGTTTTCAGTTGTCTGCCAGTAAACTGAAATAAAGTAGGTAATTGTTGGTTCACAATTTGGTCTTTCCCTGATTAGTGGCAGTAATTCAAGCTCACCGATGTTTTTTCCATAGCGGGCCATGTACCAACTTATGGGTGGGTGTGGGTATGTTTTAGTAAAAATCAAGAGGTTTCACTGAACTGCTGAGAGATGTGCGATGCTTGGTAGTCACTTGAGGGGTTTTCTTGTTCTGATTTGTCTTGGTAGGCCTAAGTCTGCTCTCATTGGTTTACGAGATTATATTTTTACCGGAGCAAGTAGGTGCCAGGGAGTGTAGAAGCCCCAACAAGCTGCAGAGCCCTCCAAAGTATCTTCAGCTTGTGCAGAGGCAGGAGTCGTTGGGTAGAAGCATGCTGCCCCCAGTCCCAGTGCTGGAGGGAGGCAGAGATAGGCTTTTGAGATGCTAAGCTGCAAAGATTTAGGCAGGTTTGAAAGGAGCTGAATGACCTGGTGAGAAGCCCTGTCTCAGAAAACTGGCTTTTAACATGCTGTATCTCGTCAACTGCAGTTATCAACCATTCTACTGAGTTCTGGTTCCAAAAGTGCTATCCCAGAAAAATTAAAAATAGGGATGCATTAGTATTAAGAAAAGAATTTGGGTTTTTTTAATGGAGTTTATAATTTGTTCTGCATTACTCTAGGAGAGTTTTCTGCTTCGGACAGCTCCCTCACAGATATCCAGGAGCAAAGACGGCAGCCCATGCCAGACCCTGGTCTTATGCCATTGCCTGATTCTGCTTCTGATCTGGACTGGTCAAACTTAGTAGATGCTGCCAAAGCCTTTGAAGGTAGGTTTTCAGAATATAGTACTTAAGAAGCTGCTCTTTGTGCATGCTTCATTAAGGAGAGGGGTTTTTTGTTCAATCTTGACTCTTGCTTTTGTTGTTTTTACTGTTCCTACTTAGTCTTAAGCTCATTTAAAATAGCAACTCAAGTCTCAACAACCTAAAACTTTGTATGTAATACTCAGATACCATTTCTTCATACTGGAATCCCTCTGTGTGATGGTTTGGCCAAATCTCTGTGAAACTGTCTACTTTTCATTTCATGTAGAGCAGTTGCAGACAGCACGGCTAGGCTGGAAAAGGTAGCTGGCATGAAAGTGCAAAAGTAAAGTCAAATAGTAGGGGAAAAGCATATGGGCACACTTGTGATTGCTTGCTTACTGCACTTGCAAGAAGTTCCTGTAGGGCAACTGAAGCACGCTGACAAGGTAATTTGGGAAATATGCCTCGTTGGTATATAATTTTCCGCTGCCATTCTTCCCGTTGCATACTCTGAATACATAGGCTTGTATATAAGTGTCATTTCGTCCTATGGCATTTTCCATCTCCTTGATACCTAGTAAACGGAAGAGAACTGTAAGCTGCCTAGATGTATTTGAATTTAAAATTAAATACACTGCAGCCCAAAGGGAGTTTACCTTACAGTTACTGTAATATGCTGGAAAAGTCCTCCAGGTGCATTAAACAGAAGTGCTTTTTCTTAATCTGTGCTTAAATGCTGTCCCACTTTCCTGAAAGTGTTTTCACTGATCCAGAATCTTTTAGATATGATTCTGCATGGCTGGAGAAGGCTGTGAAATAACTTGCTTTCTTGGCTGTTCTCTGGTAGAACACTGTTTGCGCTAGGAAACTCCAGAGGTAGGGGCAGTCGGTAGTTTACCACCACACGTGATATTGATTTAGAGATGTGTTAAAATGTCTGAGCAGTTACCGGACAAAAAGTGTAGACACAAGGCAGGAAAGAGGTTTCACATTTCAGTCTGAAAACGTTTTCTAAGGCATAAGGAAAACATTTCGGGTTCTGAAAAATTAAATTGGTCATTTTATTTTCCACATGTAAATTGTGCACAGAGAGCTTTTCTTTCCTCAAGATAAAGGGATCCTTTATGGAGTGAAGGAAGCTAAATACAGCTACTGAGTTATTGGGTAGTGTCATGCATTTGTACCCGGGAGTTCTGCACAGTGTTTGTTGCTCCAGCTTGGCTTCTTGCCTTTCTTGGAAATGGCCTTGAGTGGCCACTCCAAGCACTGCTGGGGTATCTCTGCTTTGCACTCTCTAGCATCTTCCTCCTGGAGAGCTTCTTAGCCTCAGGGTGATGTATGATCTGTGTGAGCATGCAGTGCTGTGCCAGAGCTTGAACTTCCTTGTTGACTCCAATACAGTGGAGAACTTGGTGCAAACCCCTGCAGTGACAGTTTGTTACTGTCAAGTGGTATCTTGCTTGAGACAGACTTTTCAGATTGCTTTGAGATCCTGCAGTGTAGCTGTACATGAAGAAATAATCATTACTGCTGCCATTGTTTTTTCTCTGTATGCTTGCCTTCTCAGTTCAGCGAGCTTCATTCTTTGCTGCTGCTGATGAAAATCACAGACCTGTGAGCGCTGCCTCCAGTAGTGATCAGGCTGAGGACCAGCTTACTGCACAGATCAAGCCTTATACAGGGTAAGTAAATACACCAGATATGCAGGCTTCCTCAGCTGCAAACTGAGGAAAAGAGTAGGAATGTCTTCATTTGGAAGCCATCTCCAGGATTCACAGAGGCACTCTTTGCAAGTTCTCATGAAGATGGTGGTGGGAAGTGAAAACAGAAGAATCATAAGTACAGTTGAACCTTTTTGCAGGTTCTTTCTTGTCTGAGATGCTTAAGAATGTGTCCAAAGCAATGGTAATTCAAAGCATATACAGCGAGTAGAAGTAGAGAGGTCAAGTGATGGGATGGTCCCAATTAATTATGAGTTAAATTTCTCTTGATTAATGTGCTGCATGTGTTCCATGTATTCTTTTTTAGGTTTTTTTGTTAATTTTGTGAATTCTTAGTGTACCTGAGTGCATACCTACATAAAAACACTTGGTATAGACAAGGCTGTTAGCTACCCTATGTGAGGACAGTAAAGCATACCAATACCTATTCTTGTTTCCTACTTTCAACAGTAAAGAATCTCCTCCAACTCTCGCCTCTAAAGTGGACCAATTGGAAGGTTTGCTGAAGATGTTGCAAGAGGATTTAAGGAAGGTAAACGTTTCACCTACAGAAGATCCATAATATTCAGTGCTGATAGGTGATGGTAATAACTGTAATCCTGCTTTGCTGTGCCTGAGCCTGTGACAGTCTCATCCTTGTATGAGAAAAAGACATGTTTTTACTACTTTTCTCAGGCCTTACTTCTAATTATGCAAGGCTAGGGTGTCTAAATTTGCAGGCATCTGATTCCTCTGCTTGAATTATAGTGATTCAGAGTACCTCCACTCCTAATTCAGGTGACACTGCAAAAGGCTTGAAGTTAGTCCATGTCAATACATCCTGCTGATCTTGAAAAGTTGACAGTATTATCTAAACGTATATCATTTCTACTGCGGAAACTTCCTGTATTCTGTTACTGCCTGCTTGGTCCAAGAAGGATCTGCTGTGGTCAGGTGAAAAGTCTCTTAGCTGGGGAAGTATTTAACAGCATTTCCTAACCCTTATTTAGTAAACCATCAGCCATCGTATGTACACATTGTACATACAGAACAGGGCATGCCCAATTTTATTTCACTACCTGGGGAGCCAGCTTCTAAGAATTTTAATATAGAAAAAATCCTGCTCGTTTAAGCAAAAAGTGAGGAGTAAGATGTCACAAATGTCCCTTAGATACAAAACCATATGTTACTGCACATAAAATCCTTAAAAAGAAGGAGACTGCTCTCTTGAGAGATTCTTGCCTCTCTATATAGGTAGGAATCATGATCTAAAATTTCCACTAAGGTCTGTATTTTTCCTTATGCCTAAGGAAAAAGAGGACAAGGCCAGTCTTCAGGCTGAAGTGCAACATTTGCGGGAAGACAACTTGAGGTTACAGGAGGAATCCCAGAATGCAACCGAGAAACTGAAGAAGTTCACTGAATGGGTTTTCAACACAATTGATATGAACTGAGAACAGCATATGGGGAAGGAAACTATCTGTTATGAATATTATTACTGGGACTTAAGCTTTAATGCCACCTTAATCATGACATGTGAAAGTATAGTCAGAGCACTTCCCTGTCCTTCATCCTCCAATAACCCTTTTTTGCATCTCTGCGCGCACTCGGAACAATTGCAGATCAACAATCAATGTCTGCCTTTTGTAGAAAAAAAAGTAAATAATTTTAAAAAGGTAAAATAAAAGTTTAACTGCTAAAATGTGAATGTCTATTTTTTGCACATTGTCTCTTTATCTGTTATGTACAAAATTATTTGGAGGCTGGATCAGGCTTGCTGTTCCATCTGCCTCTGTTCCATTAATTCCTTTCTCTCTGTTTCAGGTAATCTGCTTTTCCTTGCAGCTTTGGCAAATATTATGACATCTAGAAAATTAGAAAGAAATGTTTATTTTACTGCTGCTCTTACATTGTTTTCTGAAGTATGCCACAGACAAGGAGATGTAATGCAATGTTTTAGGTGTCTCCTTAGCAATTTGCGCTTGATCGCTAGTGCTACCTTCCCATACATTACAGAGAACGTGTGTCCATAGTGTATGGTACAGTACAACCAGCATCGTAACAGTGGGAGAGAGACTAGAGATGTGAGCCATGGGTGAGGCATATTATCACACATCTATTGCATTAGCATTTCTGGTAGCCTTTGTTTCCCGTGGAAACAATGGCTGCAAGTAACTTTATGAACAGCAAAACAAGGCATGCTGCAGTTCATACTGTATCAGGCAGACTGAGAGATACCAAGTACTGCTGCTGTACTGCTTAAGTATAGTCCCCTTCCCTTCCAGGGGAATCTGTTACTTGCATACATGCAGAAGATAGGCTAAAGTTGTAAAGAGATTAAGACTTCTTTCCTGTGAACCGTTTCCATGAAAATCCACATAAACCATCTCTGTGCACCTTCCCTCCCATTCCATTTCTCTGGACTCCTCAAATCACAACAGATTTGAGGAATGTTTATTCAACTTGTGTTTTATTACATGACAGGTCTTATAAATCTTTTACTATGGTAGACAGAGGAATATGTAAAGGTGAATTAGAGAAGTGTATTTTTCAAAGTACTGGGATAGGATTGGAGCTCTGAAATCCCCATACCCAGTGAAACTGTTTAGCATGACATTTCCCAAAATGCCTCATGCCAGGAAAGTTAATTTCTTCTTTTTTGAAGGAACAGCTAACTTGCCACATGTTACCTCTCCAGAAAATACCTTTTAGGTGTCAGAATACAGCTTTCAAGGGCCATAGTCTGCACAGTCATTGAACTGTGCAGTGTGCTGAGAAACCTTTTCTAGTCCCTTCTGAGGATACAGTCACTATCTTAATAAATATTGCCTTGCATAAAGTTCAGTATATTTGGGGGTTAGTTTCAGGAATATCCATTCCCTCCCCTTTACCACATTCTCAGCTAGACAGATTAAAATCATTGGGCATAGTCTTGTTATGGAAACTTCCACATTCTTTTCACATCCCTTTTTCATGCTCTCTAATCTTGTGCCAGACAAGTGCACACTACACTTCAACCTCAAACCTCATTTGTGATGCTAATCCCCATGGAGTTCTTCTCTAATGTTCTGTCATGGAAATTGATCTCTTTGGAACTATTTCTGGAGTGCTTTTGTAAAGGTTTAGAATGTCTTGGGTTTTTTAATGACTTGTATGAAGGAGATTTATATAATGCCTGATATTATTTGTAAATGGGAAATATTGCTAACATCTCTGAGCATCCTGAAGTCTTGCTTTTATTCTCTTTTATTTTGAAGTTTTGGTTTTTATTTTATTTCAAAAAATATTTTGGGACTTGGGGCAGACTATTTATTAGAGTTTTGCAACAGAGTTCTTCTTGTATGATGCCACTGAAGGCTACTTGTAAAATTCTGACAATAAAACTCATTTTAAAGGCTCTTCTAAACCATTTTCTTCTGATTTTGTTGGGTTTGTTGTTTAAGACTTTCCAGAGTGTCCATTTCTTCCAGCTTTCTTCTTGTACTACTTTTCTCAGTGCTTAACAATAGAAGAGTTTCATTCAGAGTTTCACACACAGCTTTCAGCATCCCAGAGCCAAACCTGTGAGCATACAACACTAGGTGGTAGGTTTGTTTTGTTTTCCAGATCTCCTCCTTGGACTTGGGAGATTACCTTGGGCGTCTTTTGAACAGACCTGGTGGATCAGCGTTCTGCACAGCTCAAACATGTGGAACTAGGTTGATCTGCAGGAAAAGCATCTTCCAGGTTCGCTGAATGGATCCTTACAAGGCATGTGGGGAAAGAAAAATGCATCTCTTTCTAGCAGTGAAGTTACCTGACCAAGAGAGCTCTGAAGCAGCAAGAGTAAATAGAAGCATCTGATAGAAAAAAGGGGTTGAATCTTGGAAATAAAACTAGGTATTGTCTTACCATTTCTAATTGGATTCTGGTAACTGAGTTGAAGCAGGAAGTTTCCTGCAGGTCAAGGAATTGCCCTGCCCACATTCATAGTGAAGTCATGCCAGAGGTTCCCATGCTCACTATGCACACTGCGAGGTCAGCCTAGAGCAGGGCAGGATCCACCCTGCAGGCATCTCCTGAGTAGTTACTGGCCTAAGCAGAAGGCAGGTGGCTGTGGGAGGAGTGTGGGTAACAGAGGCTACCTTCCTGTTTCACCCATTTCTCCCAAGAAAGTGATGTTTTATATTCCTGGAAGCAGTTTTGTATTCCTTGTCCACATTCCAATGTGAAGGTGTTGTTTTCCCTGTGAGTTGTTCTGGATAGGCAGATGTGGTTGGGACAGCAGCAGAAGGCTGCCTTCTGTCAAAATCCCCAAGGTGGCGGGGGGGGGCGGGGAGCACAGGGGGGCTGCAACTTGCATGATGGATAATATTCTATCAGAAGTGAAGCAGGGGGAGAGCCTGGAGGGAAGGCTACTGGGGAGCTAGTTACAGGGTCAGGAGAGAGATGCTGCAGGGATGAAATGCACTGCATCCAGGTTTTACTCCTCTAAAAGCATGGTTACAGTGTGGTAGCCTGTTGTTTCTGTGGGAAGCTGTGTTCCAGACTGATGAGTGGGTATTGTGAGGAAGCCATTTCCTCAGCTTTCCCTTTTGTGGGAAGGGTCCCCATGAACCAAGCAGAACCCGGAACGGTTGTCTTGTCTGTTTTTAAAACCTTTACATAATCCTTTCTTCTCTTAGTCCCTTCTTTTGGGTAGACAGTTAACAAATCCTCTTCTAAAGCTGTCGGCTGCCTCCTAGCAGACAGTTCAGTATGGTGTTAGTCCTGTATGTGAACAACTTGCTTTGCTGCAAGACGACAGGGGAACAGAGGCGGGTGCTGTTTTCCCGACTGGATTG